GTCTTTCTCTCTTCTCTTTCTGTCTCTCTTCTCTTTCTCTCTCTCTCTTTCTCTCTCTCTCTTTCTCTCTCTCTCTGTCTCTCTCTTTCTCTCTGTCTCTGTCTCTGTCTCTGTCTCTGTCTCTGTCTCTCTCTCTCTCTCTCTCTCTCTCTCTCTGTCCCTCTTTCTTTCTGTCTCTCTTTCTCTGTCCCCCCCTCTCTCTCTTTCTCTCTTCTCTTTCTGTCTCTCCTCTCTTTCTCTCTCTCTCTTTCTCTCTCTCTCTTTCTCTCTCTCTCTGTCTCTCTCTTTGTCTCTGTCTCTGTCTCTGTCTCTGTCTCTGTCTCTGTCTCTCTCTCTCTCTCTCTCTCTCTCTCTCGCTCTCTCTCTCGCTTATGCCCACCATCATATAGAGGGAGCCCTTGACTTACAACCAGAATGAAGCCCCAAACTTCTGTTGCTGAGCCAGACAGTCGTTAAGTGAGTTTTGCCTCATTTTACAAGCTGGCGGCCACAACATTACGCCTGAGGTTCCGTCAGATGCATTATTCGGGTTCAAAACACAGAAGAATTTATTCGCGGTAGTCCTTGAATTACAACCGCAATGGAACTCAATATTTCTGTTGCTGATCGAGACAGTTGTTAAATGAGTTTTGCCCCATCTTACCACCTTTCTCGTCACCCGGGATTCACTGCAATTGTTAACGACACGGTCGTTAAGCGAATCTGGTTACCCCCATCGACTTCGTTTGCCTGACGGTCGCAAAAAGGCAATTGCGTGACAACTCCCCCAGGACACTGCAACCGTCATAAATATGAGTCAGTTGCCAAGTGTCTCGGATTTGCAACGGTCGTAAGTGTGAAAAACGGTCCTAAGTCACTTTTTTTCAGTGCCGTTGAAACGCTGAATGGTCGCTAAGCGATCTGTTGTCAGTCGAGGAATCCGTGTAGTTAGTTAAAAATAAGATTGCCGGGCATTTTGAAGTGCCAGTGGTGGAAAATGGTCTGTGTTGAGATGAACTTTAAAAATGCTTTAATATCTCAGAGAACCCAATCAAGTTCTTGCCTTCCACAGCCTGCAGTTTGGAAAACCCTGGGAAATAAATAAGTCTATCTGCTTTAAAACTTTGCCCACGTTTTAAGGTCATGCATGGATCCAAGAAGAGAAGAGAACAACTGATTTGTGTATCTTGGGAACCAACCCAAAGTACGTTATTCCAAAGGTTGGACTCTGGTTTATGGCCTTTATGCTTTTCCTTCTCTGCCCTTTGAAGTTTAAAAGTTGCCTGTTGCTGGCCGCCTGGAGGGTGGAATTGATTTATTCCAAATTGAATGAATGAATAACTATAAAATTTAGAACAACGTTTTGATAAAAGAACAGGGGAGCGAAGTAGGATCCGCCGGTTATTCCTGTCTGCAAAAGAGCATGGTTAAAAACTAGCAAAATTCCCCATAGGCCCATTGCAAGAAACTGCAATCCGTGAATGCTTTGGAAATCTTTATTTATAGTGCATTCTTCTGAAGTAAGAATGGATTATTTCTATCACCTATTAGGGTTTTGTAGTCTTGGTCTGATCGGTTCTTCAGGAGGCTTCTTCTACGGAAAAGGAAAAAGAGGGAGACATAGACAGACAGACAGAAGATAAGATGATAGATAGATACACATATTTGCATACGCATATATACATATACATACAGGCAAGCAGGCAGAGATATAGATATAGAGACAGATACAGAGGTAGAGATATATAAAGATAGATAGATAGATAGATAGATAGATATAGAAAGATAGAGACAGATATAGATAT